CAGCTGACAAGTTAAGCCTCTCGATAACAAGGGACACTAGAAGACATGTTGTGTGACGAAGTTGCATAGCTTAACTAGTATTCGTAATACTTAATGGTTATTTGAGCACCCCCTTTGGGTGAAAACAAGGACCCATTCTGAAACAGATAAGCACAGACAAGCGTTAATCGCTTCCCACTTCTTTACCACGTTGGATAATTCTCTTTCGTTTTCCTTTTGTACATGAAATGGCCCCAGTAAATCCCAAAGGGCGTCAGACTTATAAGAGCTCATTAAAAGGGGAGTGGAGAAGAGCAGTAGGAGGACTACAATGTTATTTATTAGCCAAGCTTGAGAATACTTGTGTGGAACCTTTTTCATTGCAATGAAATCTGCAAGAGGCAGAGTGTTGTTATACTGCCTCTCCAACCAGGTAACTCGAGCACTTTCTCAGTAAAATGGGCAAAATTTTGCTCTGGAGGTAGGATTCTACTTAAAATAACTCAGTAAGTTTTGTTGAAGGTCATTAATGATTAACTTGGTGATGAACTAGTAGCTAAATTAAGAACAAATGTTGAGTTAATTAGTAAGGCTGGTGTGGCATTTTAAGGCAACGGATATTTTAGCGACTTGGACTTTTAAAATTAGTCATGGTATTTGCTAATAATAAGACTTCGTGGAGGATAAAGTTTTAAAAACTCAGTTTTTAACACTTAGCAACTAAAAAATTACATGTGAATCTAAGCAGAAAAGCAGAAAATGCGTAAAAGGAGCCTACTTAAAAATATATCATCGTCAATTAGGTAGGAAAATTTCAAGGTTAAACGGGTCTGCGGAGAGCGCGTTTTGAGGTTGTATGTGTGGTCCATTTGCTAACACTTCGCAAAACTCTAATGGCTCATGGTATACCATCGCCCCGTATTTAACCTTTTCCATCGTTTCTTTGCGTCCATGCGTGTCCTGAATGTAGCCGAAAAGAACGAAGCAGCAAAAAATATAGCTGCGATACTTGGCCAGGGCCGTGCGACCCGCGTATGCCTTCTAATTCATTACAGAATGCTAATTACTTGTTAGCGAGAGGGTTGTTCTAGATTTAATAAAATTTACGAGTTTTCAATGGATCTCAATGGCTCAAATTGTTTGTTCGTGATGACCTCGGTTTCAGGCCACCTTCTAAATTTCGATTTTTCTCAGTCGTTTCGGCATTGGTAACTCGATTTGGAAGTTTTTACCGTCATTAGGGATTCTTGCGATCCTTTGGCCCTTTTTGATGCTCCCATCGTAAAGAAGTGTACAGAAGAGTACGAACCAATTAGGGTAATTTAGTCATGTTGATTAGTGTGGTCTTGCCATTCAGCGGACTCTGGAACGCGAAATCAAAAAGTGTTCACATCTCATAATCTGGACGGATTGCGATCGTGAGGGTGAAAATATTGGCATGGAAGTTGTTGAAGTCTGTCAACGGGTTAAATCGTCCATCCACATTTCTCGGGCTCGTTTCTCCGAGATTACGCCTGTTGCTATCACTCGTGCTGTCAACAATTTGACGACTCTTGACGAACGCGTAAGTCAAGCAGTCGATGCACGTCAAGAACTCGATCTTCGCATTGGTGCTGCTTTTACGCGCTTCCAAACTCTTCGTTTGAAACGTGTCTTCCCTCGTGCTCTTGCTGATCAGCTCGTTTCCTATGGATCCTGTCAGTTTCCAACTCTCGGTTTTGTGGTTGAACGCTTTCGTGAAGTGGAAAGCTTTATTCCAGAACCTTTTTGGAAGATTACCATTGAGGTGGTGAGGGAAGGAGAAGACTCTCGAGCTATTTTCCAGTGGAAGAGGGGTCGCCTTTTCGACCGAGCCTGCTGTACCGCCTATCACGAGCACTTGTTAGAGGTAACTTATCTTTAAATTTACATGTCTTCTCCGTTTAGAACCCCATTGGAAGGATTGTTCATGTGCAACAGAGGCCAAAATCGAAGTGGCGGCCTTTACCGATGGACACAGTAGAGATGGAGAAGCTAGCTTCACGGAAACTACGGATCGGTGCCAAAGAAGCCATGCAATTGGCAGAGTCATTATACACCAAAGGTTATATTTCCTATCCTCGAACGGAAACGAATTCGTTTCCAAATGAGTTGGACTTAAAGCCGCTAGTGGAGGCCCAAACACAGGACAGTCGATGGTCAGGTACTAGGAGTGATTTAACACTTTTCATTCGTTTCTTGCACGTTGAAATTTTGAAATTTCTGTTCATCTTTAGATTTTGCTTGGAAATATCTGGCTGCGGGACTGCGACCAAGGAATGGAAAGAAATCTGACCAGGCGCATCCTCCCATTCACCCCTTGAAGGCTGGTACTAATCTTCAAGTATGTTTAAGAACACTTGAGTTGAGTCGAAAAGTGGAAGAAATCTTGTTAGAACTGGATGTTTAAGTCCCACAATATTGGCAAGCATTCCACTCATTTGGCTTTGGAGCGACACCGATCTCGGATGCTCTTATTTCTGCGATTTGATGTTAGCTACGCTTCATTCGAATGATTGGGTAGTGATTCAAATTGTGAAATTTTTAGTGATAACTACTGGAATCTTACGCAGCAGCCTGTTTGTCACTTGAGTGTTCTCTTCTGAGAGGTTGTAGCCTAGTGCCGTCATGCAAGAAAAGATGGGACTTGAAGAAATTTCCCTTATGCCACACTGAATTAATTGACATTAATGGGTTTGTTTATGGTATTTTTTCTTATAATTATGGCATCGCTGTTTGACAAGCAGTGTGTCTTAATTTATCTTTTGTATTGGAAACTTGCTGCTGAAAAACACTTTGAATCCTTTAACGGTGATGAAGGGTGTAGCTGAATGGTTGAACCTGCTCATTAATTGGGGCTGCTTTAAACTCTGTTTGATACATTTCTGATAATCGTCTCTCTGATTTCCATTTGGCAAAAATAAATTGCATTTTCTTAATGGACTCTGCTTATCTCAAAAGGCACAATCACGGTGTCTGCGTAAATATTAATCAGTTTTGTTGGGTGGAGTACTCTCTAAGCTTATTTTTTTATTGACATCTGCTCTGTCCATCATTTTCTACCCAGGGCAATGAGGCACGACTGTATGAACTCATCACACGTCATTTCCTTGCCTGTGTCTCAGAGGATGCCAAGGGTGCAGAGACGACAGTGCGCCTGTTGATGGGTGCAGTAGATTCAACTGCAGCATCTTCATTGGAGTCGGGTGAGGTGTTTGAAGCACGGGGACTGGTCATCCACAGTCGAAACTATCTGGAGGTGTACTATCCCTACGAGACTTGGAGCGAACGCCATATGCCTGGTTTTGAATTGGGAGAGATCATCACTCCAGACAAGATAGAAGTAAGTCTGAAGTTATTTGGTCACCAATCATTGCAGATTTGATTTAGTGATGGACAGACGGAGTCGGTACTGATGCAATAATCAATATACTTGAAGGGGTGCAAGGGAATGGAGTGAATTAAGGAAAACTGAATGAAAACCTAAATTGGATTGGGTTCATGCAAAGTATTTTAGGGATAGTTTGGTGGGTAAAGATTTAATAAATGGATTTACCAAAGGCTTTGTTTTTAGGCATTGACTGAATCAAGTTAGGCAAGGGAAGAACGTGCTGGTCCTAATCCTATTACATTTAGCAAATAGAGAGGATAAGTACGTTAGGGGCGGAAAACTTATCTGAAAGCGACTCAAAGTTAAGCCAGCGTTCTTTTGACTCGTAAAGCCGTGACTCTACCTCCTCCAGATGACTGAAGGCAGTACAACGGCACCAAATCTCCTGACTGAAGCAGATCTGATTGCTTTGATGGACAAATATGGCATTGGAACCGACGCCACACATGCGGAGCACATAGAGACGATCAAGAAACGCGCGTATGTTGGTTTACAGGATGCCAAATTCTTGGTGCCTAGCCAACTCGGCATGGGGCTTGTGGAGGGTACGCTCTTTGCAGGTCAAATTGAAGAACCAAGCTTAATGATCTCTTCAACTTATTTCTTAATCAAAAAACATTTCTTTATATTGTGGTGCTGATCACAGGTCCAGATCCTGCTAAACTCCCAACTGGAGTAGCCAGAAGATGTGGACTTCGCTATGAATGTATGTCGGAAGCACAAAGTTTGTGCAAGCGATTGTTAGAGTGATTTCATTTCTACACATTTACTGCCTCCATCTTGGTATTGGGGCGATTTCAACCGCATTCCATCGTGCACCTGTACGTGGTGCTGGTCAGTCACGAGCATTAAACGAGTCTCCAAGCCTAGAAATGTTAACCGTGGAATAGGAACTTCTTAGGAATCACAAAAGGAACATTTTTCGTGGTTGTGGGCATCCTCAGCAAATGGCCTATTCCACAATGTTTGAGGCATTGGAAAAGTTGGCGCATAATGGCAAGCAATCCCGGTCTCTTGGGACTCACTGATGTGCTCTTCGCGAGCACAACAAGTAGCATCAATAGGAGACTATAGGCATAACGGGAGGATTGTGCAAAGTGTAGGTTTCGAAGAGGTGACATTGCTTCCTTTCCCCTCCAAAAGCCGCCTTCGCCGTCTCCTTCATTTAATTCTCTGCTTTACTCAATCACGACGTAGTTGGTGTTTTGCAAAACCAACGAATTAGGGCTGTTGGTCATCAGGTTTTCATGAAGGTGAGGTAATCTTCCATGTAAATATCAGTCACGCGTCTCCGTCAATCTCGTTGTAGATGTGGAAGTAGCTTTCCCTTAGTAAACTATTTTGAAGGACGGAGGAGATTCACTGACTTCCAATTTCATTGATCTTCGAATACCGTTGGCTATTTGTCAGGCATTGACCAGGCGTGGAGCATGTTAAACAAAGTAAACGGGACTAAAATTTATAAACCATTTTCCTTTATCACACTTCTTCCATCGTCTATGTTAACTGCTTTGCTATGGATTGCATTCAGCCTTCTCCAAGACCTTGTGAAGGAAGGGTTGTCAGTTGTCAGTTTTTCTACCATCGTCTGGTGTGTCAACAACGTGATTTAGTGCTCGAAACTGTTCATTTTGTTTATTACAATTTAGGCTACGATTCAATGGATCTGGCTGTTGCAAAGCCCTGCTTACGCGCAGATCTAGAGGTAGACTTAAAGGCGTAAGCTTGTGTATCTCCTTGCTTAATGGGATTTATGCAAGTGGGAAATAACGATGTCTGTTTCTTGACTTGTAGAATATGTGAAGGTCGAAAGACAAAAGAAGGTAATTAATCAGACTCCAGGTCCGCCTTAAGATAAACATTTTAGAGGTTCTGCAAGCTCAGTTGGCCAAGTATAAATCCGCCTACGAGATGGTTGCCCGAGAGGCGCGAAAACTGGACATTGCGATTGGCAAGTACCTTGCCCAAGAGGCTGAAAATATTCCAGGTATATTTCGATAGAAGGAAAAATTCAGACTCCAATTCTTAGACTCCGCAAATGTCCCCACTGAAAGCAGGAGCATGGGGGCTTACCAGAAGCTCTGTTCCTGTCCCTCCTGTGGGAAGGATGTCGTAA